AGTGTTTTGCCATGCTTTTTTCCTTTAGAAACACAATTTAAAAAAAAATCTAATCACTGAGAAAAAATGTATTTCCTCTGTTGTAATGCAGAGGAGTAAATAAATTCACTAAACAGGAAAGAGCCTGAAACGTGGTGATGTGCTTTCCTCATACCTGAGTATTTTGCACTTACTATACTGCCTTTGATCCAACAGCTTTCAAGTATTTTACAAGTTATTTGTGATCTTTGGTCTTTTTGTTTCTCACTCCTGATGAAAAAAGCTTTGTCTTCATCTTTATGCCAGAGTAAACTGAGGTTATATTCAGATTGTAAAGCCAGAAACAAAATGAAGGCTGCAGCTCAGATGGCTGTGTTCACAGAATCACAGAATCGTTTGGGTTGGAAGGGACCCCTGAAGGCCATCTGGTCCAACTGCCCTGCAGGGAGCAGGGACACCTACAGCTCCATCAGGTGCTCAGAGCCCCATCCAGATCATCCACTGACCTTGGGTGTCTGGAGGGATGGGGCGTCCACCACTTTATGGGCAACCTGTGCCACTGCTTCACCAGCCTTATTGTAAAAAACTTCTTCCTTACATCTGATGTATATTTCCCTTCTTTTAGTGTGATACCATTTCCCCTTGTGCCATCACAACAGATCCTGTTAAAGAGTGTCCCCTTATTTCTTAGAGTCCCCTTTGGACTCTAAGACTCTTCATGGCTGCTTCAGACCCATCTCCCCTTTGCATCAGCTTTTCCAAAAGGGAGTGCAGTCCAAAAGATAATGATTAAAAAACACAGATCGTCAGTTTGATTACATGATGGAAGTTGTAACGAAGCCAGAGAGCAGAAGGATGAGCATAGGATAAATACACCGGTTGCATTATTAAACCTTTTGAAGCATACAGGATTATGTTTGCACTTAGCACACCTGCTGTGATGCTAGGGACTGAGATCTGTCTTTGTTTATGTGCCATCCAAATTTCATCAAGATCACATTTTTCATTACAACACGTCTGGTTAACAGCAGGTAGAGATGCGTCTTTCCTTGCCGCTCAACTTGGTTTCCTTGGAGAGAGAAGGGACAGGAGGAAGAGGGAACAAATGAGCACTCATTCAGCCCAGAACTGTGATGTTGGGAACAAAATTATCGTAGACACTGAAGAGTACAAACAGAAAATGACCTTTAATTGCTTGTCTGTAGTGCTGGCAGCCGGCATAATAAGCAACTGGGGAAGGCAAAGTGATGGCAGCTGAGCTGTGAGCTGGTGGGGTCTGCCTGGTGCCAGTGTTTGGGACGGTCCTCACGGGAAGGTCAGGCAGGGGAATGGATCCTGGCACAGGATCCTGGTCTGTATAAACAGAATTACCTGTTTTCCAGCTGTAAAACAAATGTTTGCATGCACGTGTAACTGCAGGCAGTGGTGGAAGCTGCGGGCAGCTGTCCTGCTGTGTGCCAGGGTAGATTCCAGCCGTGGGCTGAGCGCTGCTGCCCATGCAGGTGGCACTGGCCGCAGGCGTGGAGTGGCACAGGGGTTAGGCCAGATCAGGCATGTCGGCTGGAACAGATCAACCTGGTTCTGCCTGAACTGAATTATAGGTGTTAGATGATGGGCAGCACCAGCTTGGCTGTGCTGGTGGTTTCTGCAGACACAGGCTGCTGAGCTGCTTGTGGCTTTCCCTCAGTTCAGCTGAGAAGAAAACGTACTTCTTTTCTTGGCATAAGAGCAACATCGTGTGTTAGCGCATATGGACTGCAGACCGGCTGAGCGGTGAGCAGCATGGCTGGCTACCACTTTACCTCTCACTATGTGCAGGGCAGTGATGCGACATGGTGTGTGTGACTTCTGTCTGAGCAAATGGACTGAAAGGTTCCTGTTGTGGATGTTAAAATGACCTCAAACTCTAATAATATCCTAACTGAGGAAGTGAACCACACAAGCAAGACAGATCTGCCCAGATCCACGCTGACAGAGAAGAGCTAACTGTAAAACCCCAAATAGTGCTGGCTTAGGTACAAGCAAGTAATCTGACGTGAGCAAAGGAGGTCTGAAGCTGCAATGTAAATATTTGATGGTTTAGGGGGAAGCATCAGAAGGCAGGAAGCAGTGAGAAACTGAAGTGTATCCCTTTGGAAATGATAACTCTGATAAACTGATAAAGAACTTAAAAGGACAGGAGAACCCCGGTCAGCAATGTTGAGAGAGATTTTCCTCATGTTAATATATAAGTCAAAGGAAAGAATGGTAACTATCCCACTATGTGAACATTTGACTTGTGGATTGGAATGCAGAAGGAATACAGATGTTTAGTAAATACTACTGTTCTGTTGTGAGGGGAGAACAGATGATAGAGCCATATTGCAGCACTGCAGCCAAATACTTTCTGTTCCAATGCAGGTTCAAGAACATAACAGAAGAGCAGCTCAAGTTACATCAATTTAAAATCGGGTCTGAAGAAACTTGCACCAGCGAATGGTAACCAGGATTTTCCAATCAATCGGTTGGGGAGTTTCAGATCACTGAATTCTCACATGCGGGGTTGTACTGACTTGTGTTTTAGGCATTACAGCAGCCCAGCAGGTTGATCCAAACCTGCCAGCCTTATGTGGAGTCCAGGCATAGCGATGGGAAAACTGGTAAGTAAAAAAAGGGGAGTACCACTGCCAATGCCAATTGACAAAGATTGGTGGCATCGTATATAAAATTACGTGTTTGGTGAACAAAGGTAGCAGTATTGGAGTATTGGGATATAATTATGCTTGCATTTTCATTGAAGGTTTGGCTTGACATTTCTACAGAGGAAATTTCTGCAGAATTAGCTCAGCATGCATTAAAAGGATTAAATATTGACTAACTTGTCTCAAAATGTCATTTTAATGGATCATCTTCATACAAGATGTATTTACCTAAAAATCTAAGCATGGACTTGGCTTGGCAATTTCAAACTTTTTCCAGAAACCTACAAGAGTCTCAGGAAAAAGACATCATCTTTATTCAAGTTTTCAGATAACGTGCATTGGGAGAGTAATACTGATGACAGGTATCATAGAATCACAGAATGGCCTGGGTTGAAAAGGACCACAATGCTCATCCAGTTTCAACCCCCTGCTATGTGCAGGGTCACCAACCAGCAGACCAGGCTGCCCAGAGCCACATCCAGCCTGGCCTTGGATGCCTGCAGGGATGGGGCATCCACAGCCTCCTTGGGCAACCTGTTCCAGTGTGTCACCACCCTCTGTGTGAAAAACTTCCTCCTAATATCTAACCTAAACCTCCCCTGTCTCAGTTTAAGACCATTCTCCCATGTCCTGTCCTGTCCACCTTTGTAAACAGCCATTCTTCCTCCTGTTCATAAGCTCCCATCTGGTATTGGAAGGCCACAATGAGGTCTCCCTGGAGCCTTCTCTAAGTTAGGTAGTGAGTGACCTGCCACTGAGCCTTCGGGATCCCTGAGTACGCTGAGCTTTAGCAAGCAGTGCATGTTTTGGTGTAGCTCCCTTAAAATTCTGTATCCCATCTCAAACCCCACTCTTCCTTCTCCTTAAGATCCCCATGGGAATGAGAGCCCAGCAGAAGCCTGCAGGCTGAATAATGTTTGCATTTGTATGGGTGGGGAGAGAACTGAGCAGGAACATGGGCTCAAGCACATGGGATAGCACAGACGTGCAGGGGGCTGGGAGTATGAAAAATGGGCAACTATGGAGAAAGACACGGATTGCATCTGCAATTGGTACTTTTGCAAATAGCTTTCTCTTCACTGAGTTCTGATGTTCACAACTGAAGGTGGTTATCAGATAATCACGGAAAAAATCGGGGAAAGCAGAAAAAAAAGGAAAATGCAGCAGGTAGAAGGGCTCCAAGTGATTTAAGGCAGTTTCATTCCAGGACTCCTGGCATGAAGGGAACACACCCATAATAGAAGATTTATTACATATAAGGTACGGTGGCTGGAAGACAAAGCTAAACAAACTCTGCTTGTGTATACTGAAAACATTTTTTACAACAGGTAACAGTCACTGGGAAAATGTTCCAAGAGTTGTGGTGGAATTTCCCAGAAATCAAGATCTCTTGTTGTTCCTAAAAGAGGAGCTCTAGTTCAAACACCAATTAACTAAGGGAAATCCTACAGCATCTGTCACCCAAGAGGTCAGGCTGGATGGCCACATTCTCTGCTGGCCTTGTGGCCTATAAATAGAGTCCCAATGGAAAAAAAAAATCCTCCTTATCTTGGACCCTCTTGCTGTAGCAAAAAACAATGGAAATGCAGAAAGATCAAAAGTAGTCATTTTGCAGCAGTATTTCTACCGAAGAGACCAAAACACGTTGCAGTCTGATTCCAGAACATCGTGTGAGCTCTTCCTTCCTCCTGTCAGACTGCAGCCATTCCTCATGCACCGCTTTTCAGAGCTGCTAACTAGCCAGCATCTGAGAATTACAGCAAAGGCTGGGTTTGAAGTCAGTGGGAGTGCTGCTGTTCTCATGGAAGGGGTGGGTCAAACCAGAACATCTTTGCAATCTGAGGACACACCTCAAACTCTCCATTGGATTCTAAGTGAGACCAGGGGGAATTATGCCACACACACAACAGCGGAGTCTGGCTGAAAGAACAGCTGTTTCTCATAGACAAATACAGTTACATTTAAACAACATTTGAAAAGAATTCTACCTACATAGCGAGTCATTAAATAACCACAATACCAACAAGAAGTTTATCCTGTGCACTGGTGCTGCATTTATTGTTATTTGCAAATGTTCTGTTTATTGCAAAAGCAGTCACTGGAATAAGAGAACTTTCACACAGCAAGTATCCTTCTGTACACTTTTTGCTTAAATAGCAAATCCTGCCTTGGAGTGTCTGGGATCATTCTGCACACATGAATCAAGGGATACAGGAGCACAGAAACAAGTTGGCTTGTCTCAGGTCTACCTCTCCTGAGTGTGTGCTAACCAGCAGGCAATGGGGTACTCTGAAACAGAAGGTTCTTCATTCTTTCCTGAAGCTGTTTGTTTTTTAATACTTAATACTTTAATTCTAAACCACGCAGAAAAATGACTCTCAAGCCTGCTAGCCAGGACAGCTACCTGGGAGGTATGACACAAGGGCATGAACTCCAAAAAGTACTTAAGTATTTCCTTATAAATAAAGGTGAACATTGCTGACAGGCATGGATGTTATATCCCCTGAGCATGCATACCTGCAGCTTCCTTGGGAGAAAAGAATGAGAGTTCAAACCTTCCTGGCAGAGGAAGTCCTGAAATTTGAGTTTCTTATATTTTATTTGGGTTCTGAAGCACTGAGAATCAGGATAAAATGGGCATTGCCAGCATAGGAAGTACAACACAATAGTCACAATTTTGATTATAGCTCAGAAAAAAGGCTGAGATAACAATGACCTCATATCAAATCCACAAATAATTTTTAATCAGCCGATTTCTGCCTTTTCAGAGTGTATTTTGAGAGAACTCTCCAGTTCAAAATGAAAGTATTCCAGGCTTCAAGATTTGGGTCATAGAATCACAGAATGGCCTGGGTTGAAAAGGACCACAATGCTCATCCAGTTTCAACCCCCTGCTATGTGCAGGGTCACCAACCAGCAGACCAGGCTGCCCAGAGCCACATCCAGCCTGGCCTTGAATGCCTCCAGGGATGGGGCATCCACAGCCTCCTTGGGCAACCTGTTCCAGTGCTTCATCACCCTCTGTGTGAAAAACTTCCTCCTAATATCTAACCTAAACCTCTCTGTCTCAGTTTAAAACCATTCCCCCTTTGTCCTATCACTGTCCACCCTCATAAACAGCCATTCCTCTCCTGTTCATAAGCTCCCTTCAAGTATTGGAAGGCCACAATGAAGTCTCCCCACAGCCTTCTCTTCTCCAAGCTAAACAAGCCCAGTTCCTTCAAACTGTAAAACTTTGGTTAGAAAAACTAAGTGTCAGTGAGTTTAGCTAATCAACATACAACCAGGAGCGATTATTAAATATACACTTCCTACACTTCTAAGTGCACTTACTTATGTGTGCTTATACATTTTAGAAAGAAAGGTTTGCACTTCAGCAGCATGGTTCAGATTACATCCGTGCCTCCATTGGCTGAATATAAAGTAATTGTTCCTGAAAACAAAGGGAAAAGAGAAAGGATGTACAGATTCCCATGCAGCCTTCTTTTCCTGTCAGAGGCATGGAAAGGCCTGTGTTCTCACATGACAAACCTAATCACATTTAAGACTGCTCCATAAAGGAGCAAGCACTTTTTGAACTGAGCTCTGTTACAAGCCTCTGCTCAAAGGACTGCATAATTGGACATCCCTGGCAAAATGAGATAATGTTCACGTATCATGATACAAACATTCCAGCAATGATCAAAACGTGAAAGGAAATGAGGTTCATACACATACCTTCTATATCAAATTGGTACAATCCGTGAGAAAGGCAGCTCCTACACTTTTCTCTCTTCTATTACTCTGTGTCAGTGGTGTCAGGAGGCGTTTTGCTTTTAGTACCAATGGAAACAGGACTGGGGAGCAAGAACTCAGGACAGTTCAAGGTACTGACACATCATACCACACTGCAACTACGTTACCATGCAACAGCTGACTCTGTATGAGTGATGGATACACATGGATCTCTGTGTTCTTTCAGCTGAGAAAACACATTCCATGCACCAAAGGCCTTTCAAAGGCAGCATGGTGTACCTGTGGCTCTGGCTTAGACTGCCTCCCTCATGAAGTTGGTGCTTCTGCAAGCACCTGCAGTTCTGTGGTTTGGCCTGTGACAGGTCACAAGCTACTCAGCAACAGAACCAGGATATTATAATTATATTACAATTGCTTTTAATTCTGCCTTATATTTTTACATCAAACCTGTTTTGTGCCCCTTTGGGTACAAAACGAGGTGGCAAAAATACGTTGTATGAAAACCTACCCCACAGAACCACAAGATTTGATGCTTAAACATTTCAGTGCTCTCAAAAAACATTAAGGAAGAAATAAAGCTCACAGAATAGTCTACTTAAGAAAAATCTTTTAATTGTTACTAATTTCAGTGGTCATTTTCTTTTGTGTATTTCAATTCTAAACCAGCTATATACAATTTAGCTTCTAGATTTCTTCCCTACCGAAATAAAATATTTCAAGGAAAATACAGGGAAAGAAAATCTCAAGAAGATACCATCATTCTAAATACAACCTATTGTTATTACTCGATTAAGATAATTAAATGCTCTGGGTTGGAGTAATGAAGACTAGGAGTTTACACTCGGCACTTCCTTTCTGATTTTGTGCTTTCTGACAGAGGATATATCTCCCCTGTGGGAGAGGTTTGGGCCCATAAACTCCTGGTTTCTCTGGCGCAGGTGTGAGTACCAAGCAAGAGAAATAGCTGTCACAAACCAGCTTTCTGCTTCTGTGTTTCTCAATTTCCAGTCTTCCCTTAGACGCACACTGCCTGAGATACCTCACACAGATCTCTTCTGTGTGTTGTGGGGAAAATGAAGAAAAGCAGCAGGCCATAAGGCTCCTGAAGAGATGATATTAGCTGGTTAACAGAATAGGAATAGGGTGGAACCATTTTCTTTCAGCTGTGTCAAATCCATTATTTTTAGCACCTTCATGAAACACAGAGGAAAACTGCTGTAAGGAAAGCACTGCACACAACTTCGCTCGTGACAAAGAGGACACAGTTCTCTGGATCTAAATGAGCATCTGGCAAATCAAAAGCATTATTACTGTAAGGATGTCCACATTGAGCTCATTATTGGCAGGTTCTTAACCATGTCTAAGCTGTGGTAACACTGAAATAGTTCTGAAAATATTTTCAGGCTGTTAAAAAAACCTCTCTCCTTTGCTTAATGCCAATTCCACTGCCCCACTTATAACGCAGTTGCATACTTATTGTCTTTGCCCATAACTTGAATGATTTTTTTTATTTACTGAAACCAGCCCATTCAGAAAGCTGACAATGTAAGTGACGTGGATCACAAACATCCACTTACTGCTATTACCACCACAACACATTGCCAAGTACCGTAACAACTCCACTGGAGTTACAAAAGCTGAGGCTATCAAATTGCATCCAGTCTGAAAACAGGGAGAGGAATACCAGACAAAAAGACACCTTGTGACTATCAGACATAGGTTGATAGCCTTCTTCTCCCCTTTGATATTGAAAGCACATTAATTTTGGTGTACGAGACATGAAGAAATGCACTGTCTCTCCAAAACAGGCAATGGGCTGATGAAGCTAACTGCTGATCTTTCATTAGAAGTACAAAATGAAAAACAAACAAACAAAAAGAAATGAGTCTGGTGGAGTGACAGGAGGCTATTGCACACTGTGCTGTATAAAGAGAGGACAGAGAACGTGCACCAAAGTGCAACACAATGAGACAGGAAGGGAGATGGCAAAGAAAGAGAAGGGAGGAAGTCCATACTAACAATGCTTCTATCTGAGATAGTAGCATAAGACATGACAAAATGACAAAATGAACAATCTGCTTTCTAGATTCACATAACACATGTTAATTTCTCCTGCAGCAGATTCTTTACGTCTCAAAGAAACCAAGAATATTCTTTAAAAACTTCATCACCTCAAGGAGACAGGGTTATTCTGCACTGTTTCAATCCTTACACACCAAAATCTCTATTCTTACTGCAATGGATGCATCTGTCTGCTTTGTTGCTCCAGACACAAATTAACTGAAATTGGAGTATGCAATTGTGTTCTGGGTGCTGACTCTCATGGCAGGCTGTAAGGGTAGTCTCTCCATTTTCACTCATGTGCAATCTGCATCTCACTCCTCTTGAAATGAGAAGTTACAAAGCACATCAAATGGAACTTGAAATGTGAGATAGCCAGCTTAAGACAATTAACATGTTTCTGACCTGGTGATTCTTATTTCCTTTTGGTTCCACACAAGATGATTCAGCACTTGAAATACCTGAGAACTGTAAAGTGTTGCAATGTTCATCACTGTTAGAGTTGACACAAAGTAAAAAATGTCAATGTCTGTTGTTGAAAAGGTTCCGCTCTCTGCTCTCACGTTCAACTGTTACATGGCAAATGCACACAAACTACATTAGCTTTGTGTTAAAAATAAATTTGGGTAGAATCTCAAGCCTTCCACCGAATCGTCTCTGCAAAGATGGCCCATCTTTTCAGCAAGAAGCAGCCTGGAGAAAGCAAAAGAGGATTTGTTGCATTACTTGAGGACAACTTGATAACAAAGGTGCTATTAAACACAATCATGATTCCTTACCTTTCTTTGGCTAAGAGAACAGACATTCCCACCAGCTTCGCAAACTCATCAGCTGTGAGAGAGCCCTTTTCAGATACCTATCAGAAATAATAATAATAATAATAATAATAATAATAATAATAATAATAAACAAACCAGGCCATTAAAACAGCAACTCGCTCAGGCCAAGCTTTGTGAAGTAAAAAATCGGTAGCAAATCTCTTTGAGGAAAATAGTTTGCGTTTTAAAAAATTAAGAACGAGTTCATGGTACCCTTTCTTTCAGATTTTTTTTAAATACATGGAAGAAATTATTGGAAATATTCAAGTAGCACACAGACAGAGGTGCATTGGCACAGTTACTATCACACAGCCTAACTAAGTGATTCTGCAAACAGGAAAGCTCGAGCGAGGAAATAAAAACACAGCGGGGCACGACAGGTCATTGATTGAGAAATTCAAGTAATCTCAGAGAGAGGCAGAGAATTTCAGTAGATTTATGATATTGCCACTGACTGCATGAAATCCACAGACCTTGGTATTCCACGCTACATTGTGGCCTGCTACTGGGATCACATTCACACAACAAAAGATTGAGTCTTAGGCTCAAAGCTTTGGTCCCATTGTCCCAGTGATGCTAGTTTATACATGCTAACGTGAAACATTCTCACATAGGCTGGCATGTGGACATTTGAAATACAATATTTCAAGTCCAGAGTTATTACTGCATTGAATTTCTCATATTAACATATGCTGTATTAGCCTACAAATTAAAAAATATTACATTTTTTCACTTGCTCTGATTCAAACAAACTTGCAAATCCAGATGCAGTTGCCATTTCCTGCTTCCTACATAACCAGGTGGAAAAGGGTTCATTCTGCATTATTCTCAGCAGTCTCCGAGCAGTAGTTTCCCTTTAGCAGAAACTCCAATTAAATGAGGCCTACCTTGAGAGTACATGACTAAATTTAGGTAATGGAAGTCAGTTATACAATCGAATATAGCACATGGATAGTTATTTTTCCTTCCCAAATCACTGCTCTCATCGAGTGACTTCCCCTTTGACTTCCATGTCTTCCTGTCCTCAGCACTCATTCGAAACCACATCACTCTCCTGTTTGAAACCCTGACTTCCTTTCACTTTTTCTCAGAAGTTTCATGTTATTGTGTATTATACATCAAGCACAGGGTGCTTTTGGTCAGAGTTCTCGTCACAGAATCACAGAATCACCCGGTTGGAAGGGACTTCAAGGATCATGTAGTTCCAACCCCCCTGCCTAGCAGGGCCACCAAACATCCACATTCAGATCAGGTTGCCCAGGACCCCGTCCAACCTGGCCTTGAACACGTCCAAGGACGGGGCATCCACAACCTCCCTGGGCAGCCCGTTCCAGGGCCTAACTACTCTCCTTGTGAAGAACTTCCCCCTAACATCCAACCTAAATCTTCCCTCCCTCAACTTGGATCCATTTCCCCTAGTCCTGCTATTGTCAGCTCTTTTGAAGAGTTTACTCCCCTCCTGGGTGTAGGTTCCCTTCAGGTATTGATAGGCTGCAATGAGGTCGCCCCGCAGCCTTCTCTTCTCCAGGCTGAACAAGCCCAACTCCCTCAGCCTGTCCTCATAGGGGAGGTGCTCCAGCCCCCTGATCATCTTAGTCGCCCTCCTCTGGATCCTTTCCAAAATCTCTATGTCTTTCTTGTACTGAGGGCTCCACACCTGGACACAGTACTCCAGATGGGGCCTCACAAGAGCTGAGTAGAGAGGGACAATCACCTCCCTGTCCCTGCTGACCACCCCTCTCCTGATGGAGCCCAGGATCCCATTTGCCTTTCGAGCTGCCAGAGCGCACTGCTGGCTCATGTTCAGTCTCTCGTCCATCAGGACCCCGAGGTCCTTCTCTGCCGAGCTGCTCTCAAGGACCACTCCTCCCAGCCTGTACGGGTGCCTGGGGTTCTTCCGGCCCAAATGCAAAACCTTGCACTTTGCCGTGTTGAACCTCATTAGGTTCACCCGAGCCCAGCCCTCCAGCCTGTCGAGGTCCCTCTGAATGGCATCCCTTCCTTTCACCATATCAACCGCACCACTCAGCTTGGTGTCGTCAGCAAACTTGCTGAGGGTGCACTCAGTTCCCTCATCGATGTCATTAATAAAGATGTTAAAGAGCACCAGTCCCAAGACAGACCTTTGGGGGACACTACGTCTCTTTGTCTCTTCCCTTTCCCTTATGGGCTTGCCTTCCTCAATCAAAGCCTCTCCCTTACATTCTTCTATGAAATCAAAGCCTAGTTTAGAATCATAGAATCAGCAAGGTTGGAAACAACCTACAAGATCATCTAGTCCAACCGTCTCCTCATCACCATTGCCACCACAAGCACTAAACCACATCATGCAGCACGTCGTCCAGACGTTTCTTGAACACTGCCAGGGACGGAGACTCCACCACCTCCCTGGGCAGCCATTCCAGTGCCTGACCACTCTCTGAGAGAAATTGTTCTTCCTTATGTCCAACCTAAACCTCCTCTGATACAACTTGCGGCCATTACCCCTTGTCCTGCTCGTTGCCTGGGAGAAGAGGCCAAATCCCTCTTCACCACAGCCTCCCTTCAGGAAGTTGTACAGTGCAATGAGGTCTCCCCTGAGCCTCCTCTTCTCCAGACTGAACAATCCCAGCTCCCTCAGGCGCTCCTCATAACACTTGTGCTCCAGACCGCTCACCAGTTTCGTTGCCCTTCTCTGGACACGCTCCAGGACCTCAACATCTTTCCTGTAGTGAGGAGCCCAAAATTGAACACAGTACTGAAGGTGCGGCCTCACCAGTGCTGAGTACAGGGGGATGATCACCTCCCTGCTCCTGCTGGCCACACTATTTCTAATGCAGGCCAGGATGCTGTTGGCCCTCTTGGCCACCTGAGCACACTGTCGGCTCATGTTCAGCTGAGCATCAACCAACACCCCCAGGTCCTTCTCTTCTTCACACTCATCCAACCACTCATCCCCAAGCCTGTAGCACTGCATGGGGTTGTTGTGGCCAAAATGCAGGACCCGGCACTTGGCCTTGTTGAACCTCATCCCATTCACCAGCCCAGCGGTGCAGCCTGTCTAAATCCCTCTGAAGGGCCTCCCTACCCTCAGGCAGATCGACACCACCTCCCAGCTTGGTGTCATCTGCAAACTCACTGAGGGTGCACTCGATCCCCTCATCTAGGTCATCAATAAAGATATTGAACAAGATGGGCCCCAGCACCGACCCCAGGGGACACCACTTGTAACGGGTCGCCAGCTGGACTTCACTCCATTCACCACTACCTGCTGGACACGGCCCTCCAGCCAGTTCCTTACCCAAAGCAGGGCAGACCTGTCCAGGCCACGGGCAGCCAGTTTCCCCAGAAGCCTGTGAGTTTAATTCTCTATGTACCACTTTCCATGTGAGCACTCTTCACAGCCAACTCAACTGTTATAAATACAAAGTGCTATTTTACCCAAATCAAACAACTGCCTGCCTCAACATTTAAGAACTATTTTCACCACCTTCAAGCACATTGTATACAAAGACTGAAGACCATTGTTATTAAATATATGTCATGAACTTCATCCTACAGTGCAAAGATTTGGAGGAAGGTTAAAGGTTAATGAATTTTGAAAAGAGATGGAAAAATGCTTTATTCCTTATGGAGAAAGCAACAACCAAGATTATTGCCTGCATTGTAATTTGAAGATGAAAAGTGCCATTTGAGTATTATTGTTAGAGGATTTTAGAAGTGGAATATTTTGTATTTTAAAGCCTCAAAAGGAAATCCTGTACTTCACATTTCTATACCTAATGTGTTTAAATTTCCCCAGCATAATCAGAACACCGAAGGAAGTGGAGTTCACTTACTGTCTCTAAAGCAGAAGCAACCATTTCCTCTTCATTGTGAGACTGGAGCTCAATCACCATCACACCGCTGTCAAATATCTGAAGCCTGAAATCAGAAGAGAGGGTCAAAGTAACCCAAAGCCCCAGGCACATCACCTATGGCCACCCTTCTGATACATCCACAATGACAACCACATTACAAAATGAAAAAGGAAAGACTGTGTAAAATGAACTTCCAGTTAAAAGCATCTTAGAAATAAAAAGAGATTGAAAAAGACACAGCATACAGTTGGGCTTAGATAAGCCAATTTTCCCAATATGGGGAAAAAAAAAAAGGTTGGAAGTGAGAAGAATATTGTCTTTCTAGCAGACAAAGTAAAGCATGGTTAAAATACATATTGAAGTGTAGAGTGGATGTTGGTGCACAGAGCAGCACCTGGACAACTGTGTTTAAAAAAAAGAAAGTTCCACATGTAAAATACTGTCAGCCAAGCAGCACGCCCTGACCTACGAGTGCTGTGCTTTGTAAATACATCTCCTGCACATCTCTTACCGTAGCGGCAATTTCAGCGGCTCCAGCATCTTACAAGCATTTACTAAATCTTCTGGTGAGAGCAACTAAAAAGTAGTAAAACACATTTATTGACAGCATGCCTTTCTAGTATCAGCATAGCACCAAAACAAACAATTGCTACAATGATAGATAGAATGTACACCAGGTTAATTAATTTTGTTCTTTTTTTTCCCTTTCATGTTGCCCCATCTATTCTACACTCCCTCCTGTCCCCTTACTGCTTTGTTTTTTTTCTATAATACACATTTTTACCCTGTTTACTGAGAGAACTGAAGCATTTTGGAAAAAAAATCCTCATTCTTTAGTATTCCCTGGTCTCAGGTTTGTTTTCTTTTTCCAGATAAAGGTGGATTTTCTCCTCTATATGGTACTATGAAAAGCAGCATACATTGTTATTAAGTATAGAGAATATATAAACACTGCATGAAAGGAGGAGAAAGAAAAAAGGTAAAAATCTCCGATTTTAATAAACAGTTGATCACTTCACATTGTTACATACAGTGAGAAATTGGTAGGGAATACTTTCACAGTTTTTCTTGGATTACCTTAGCAAGGATGTGCACTTTATGCAAACAAACAAACAAAAAAAACTAAGAAAACTAAGAAAAAATGAGGGAATGGTTTTAAACTGAGACAGGGGAGGTTTAGGTTAGATATTAGGAGGAAGTTTTTCACCCAGAGGGTGATGAAGCACTGGAACAGGTTGCCCAAGGAGGCTGTGGATGCCCCATCCCTGGAGGCATTCAAGGCCAGGCTGGATGTGGCTCTGGGCAGCCTGGTCTGCTGGTTGGTGACCCTGCACATAGCAGGGGGTTGAAACTGGATGAGCACTGTGGTCCTTTTCAACCCAGGCCATTCTATGATTCTATGATATGATTCTAGGAAAACCAACTTCTCACCTCCAATCCTCGTGCACGGTTTACCAGACAGTACACTTCTGTAAGTGACATGATTCCTCCTCTCTCCTGTGTAAGCACAAGACTGGTAAGAGAAATAGCATTAATCTAGTAAACACAGTATCTTAATTTGCATTTGACTGTTTGAACAGGTAAAGCAGACAAGCTGATCGTGGCCTTTAATGAAAAATCTACCCTGTCAACACCACCAATTTCTAGTACTAGAAATAATTTGTTAGCAATCTTTGTCCTATCATTTTAAAATGTAAAAAATTGATACTATACCCAAAGATTGAGACCTAATTTTATTTTTAAGCCAAAGGATGAAGGAATTTTTATGTATTAAACTTATCAATCAATTTTCATTTTTCAGGCAGCATGTCTGATCACAACAGGTGGCACATTTCTTAAACAAAACATTCCATATACTTCTTAGGAGACATATGGCTGCAGAAGCTTCAAACATGAATATAGATTTCTGGCAAGAATCTAGAACTCTCTAAGAGCTTCAGATAAATTAAAATATGAGATATTACTTGATGGAGAATAAGTATGTGATACTTCAACAGTTTAATGAAATAATAGTTATATATTCAAAGCTTGTACTGTTTTTCTTTCTAAAAAAAAAAAAAAAAGTAATATTCTGTGGCAAGGAATGAATACAGAGCTCTTCAAATAGCAGAAAGGCTGCTAATGTGATCCACCAAATACCACCAGAAGTTACTGAATTGGAAGCTGAGATTGCATTTCTCCAAAAAAAATATTCTTACACTTCACATTTACATTTTCTTTCTTGGAAAGACTCACGTAAGCAGTGAGTAAGAGGCTGTGCTGCCCCATTAGGAACTCTGCAAAGAGGCACAGCCATTAACACAGCCAGAACACGTTTTCATGAAAACTCAGCACCACAAAGAAAACACTGGTGCAAAATTGGTACGTTACCTCTAATGGTGTCTGCAGCATTCCAGCTAGCTGCTTTGCCAGCTGCATGTGGTAATGAGTACCAGATCCGTGTGTTTCTCTAGTAACTGGATTGGCTATGCCCATACTCAGCAGATATGATTTGAACCTAATAGTCTAAACAAATAAATTCATTAGAAGTATATCAGCTACTGAACGACTCTCATTTTTAAAGGACTTTCACTTTATTACTAGAAGACAGTTTTGGTGAATTGATCCAAACAGTTTACTACCAATAAAGTAGATTACTAGCAAAGTGAAAGCAAGAATAATACAGAACAGAAAACTGTCATCGTCCACCAACAAAGGCAGTAAAATCTGTGCTTTTCAGAAAGAGCCAAAATAAAAGTTAACCAAACTCTTCAGTCTCTTTAACTAGATCTAAAATGAACAGAAAAGCTCACAAAGCATTCTTTGCAGAACTCGTTTTGCTAAAAGGACAGCTTTGGCTTTACACAGGGACATTCCTGTTGATTCTAAAAACAAAATTCATTTACCTCATCCTCCGTGATGTCACCTTGTTTTTCTTTAATCTTATTAGCAATTGACTTGGATAGCTCCACCATTTCCTTAGCCTATCAAGAAAAATCCACAGATAAATCAATTTGCAGGTCATCAGAGAAAACATGCTGAAAACAGAAAACAAGCATAAATCTACTCGCATACGTAACACGTGCCTTACCTTCTCCATTAGCTTACTAAGGTCCTCAAAAGCCTGAAAAGATATTAAAAACATTTCAGATCAGTACAACTACAGCATTCAGCTTCACAGTCACAGTGAGCTTCCTCGGGAAACCTATCAAGCTGGTTGTAAAAGCTGCTATCCTTTATGTTAGTAAGTTATGGTGAGACATATTATAGACAATTGTTTTATGAAACTGTTTCATACAAGTCTACAAAGAAAAACCATACAATCCATAAACAAGGAACAAAGGAGACTGAGACCCAAAAAAGTTTAAACAGACCAAGTCAATTATGCTCTCCTGAATGCTGGGCAAACATTTCTTGGTGGTGAGGGCAGGTTTTCTTCAACCAAGTGAGTTAAAGCTCACTCAAGAAGATCTATTGCTTCTGGACAGCAATAAGCCAGCTGTAATGCTACAGAAACATTCTTCCTGACAACACAATTTTACTTTATTGAGTGGGAGCTTCTAGGTTAGTAAGCAAGACTGTAGTTACTTTAAAATGAGCAATGAAGACAATATACAATTTGATATAATATGCTTAACCAAAGAGACAAAATCTCTGAAATTCTGTGTCAACATCTTTTCATGTATCTCACACAACAGAACAGTGATGCTCCCATAATTTAACACAAAACAGTTAAAGAAGAATGTAAATATCCAGGAGACAAACGATCAGATTTATACAAATGAAGACTTAAAAAATAGATTAAGATCTTCTGAAAACTCTAGTTGTTGGACCTAAAAAGCACAGGACATGCTAAGGCAGGTAAATGCTTATTTGTACAGTTTTTTCTCCAGTCTGAGCAGCTTTATTGCTGCCACAAAATTTGTAATAAAGTGGACCTACAACATAGGACCATGCTTATATCAAGTCTATTGAGCATAGTAAACTGCTATGGCCTCAAGTACAATAATTCTGTATTTTCAGGCATAAATAAAAAAGATCCACATATTTTGATCTCAAAGAAACAAGAAGCTGGTAAATATATTATATATTTAAAAGTAACACATTTTTGCCAGGCTTAGCAACACACACTCAGCCTGTGGTGCATCTATCTAAATACATGATGACATGCCTGTGTAGTGAACCTTTTCAAACCACCTTTGTTGGCCAACTGGTTTGAGAAACATTCCAGAGCCTCCTCAGTTATTGCCTGCCTGAAAGCAGCACCCAGTAATTGCAGCCACAAAGAAAGATCATTCAGTTAGGGTATAGCAAATGACCACAGATACATCTTGCCTACAGTTTCCAGACATCAGTTCTATGCTGTTTCCTATCTTCCAACTAATCCCCCTCTAGAAAGAATTTTAGCAGGACTTATGCAGGAAGACTGAATTGTTTCCATCTAAAATATTTATGCACCTGAGTTAGGAAGCTTATTGGCCTGAGACTCCATATACACAGATGAGAGACATGTCTCCAAGAAGGGATGGTTTTTTTTTCCACCCAAATCCCTCCCAATGGTACAAGTGACTCCATAGAACCATAGAAGTTCAGCCTCTTAACATTTGGTACCTCAGCTAGGCATCCAGAATTAAGTGGAATACTTCTTCTTGGGGAAGGACAAGGGGGAATGGTGTTAAACTGAGACAGGGGAGGTTTAGGTTAGATATTAGGAGGAAGTTTTTCACCCAGAGGGTGGTGACGCACTGGAACAGGTTGCCCAAGGAGGCTGTGGATGCCCCATCCCTGGAGGCATTCAAGGCCAGGCTGGATGTGGCTCTGGGCAGCCTGGTCTGCTGGTTGGTGACCCTGCACACAGCAGGGGGTTGAAACTGGATGATCAGTGTGGTCCTTTTCAACCCAGGCCATTCTGTGATTCTTCTATGGTGATTCTATGATTCTTGCTTCCTTATTTGCCAAATTCAGTGGTTTACAATAGAATTCTCAATCTTTGGTATAATTTAAGTCCTTCTATTGTGCTCGCGTGATATCAACAAAATTTTCTAATAAGGTTTTTCCTAACTTATTTCTCATCTCTAAAACCTGCATGAAAACGCTGTTCATCAAAAGAACCCTTGCTTTAGCTAATAAACAGTATGCTGTGTGTAACTCCTCCTCTGCCTGACTCACTGAGGGCAGGCCTGGAAACAAAGGGGAATGTGCACACACCTAACAGGAACTTCCTCAGATAAACAAAAGGCTACAGAACTGGATTCTTATCAGCAGTGAACAGCAGATGCAGGAAGCCTTTTTCTGGAAGCCAGGGCACCATTTTTTAAATTAAGTCATCTATAACATTTAAAGCTGGAGGAAGGCAGGATTTCACAAGTCATGATTTTCCTACGTTCGTGCAACACTTACAGATGGATTTCTTCTGCTCTCTGAAAAAGCTACAAACGGAAAAAATAACCAGACAAGACCTTTTGAACTACACACACACACCACAATGCCTTTTGAACTACACACAGAATTTCATTCACTACATTCCTCATAAAAGAAGAAAAAATTGTAGCAGTATCTGAAACAGCATGCTGCCTACAAGCTGCTATGTAAGTCTACATAGCAGAATATGCAGCACGCTTTTTACTGGGGCACGCTGAGTCTTGTAACACTTTGCCATTCGAATCAATCTGTTGTAGGCAGCTTATGAGTATTCCCACATCAATCCCAGAGAGGCTGTGGATGCCCCGTCCCTGGAGGTGTTCAAGGCCAGGTTGGATGGGGCCCTGGGCAGCCTGGTCTGGTATTAAATGGGGAGGTTGGTGGCCCTGCATGTGGTAGGTTAGAGATTCATGATCCTTGAGGTCCCTGCAAACCTGGGCTGTTCTGTGATTCTGTGAATCTGTGTATCACTCTCTATTATGTGACAGAACCAGATCACTTCAAAGGATATTACTACCAATACATCTGAAAGATTTTCAGTGAAGGAACAAATTGATTCTGCCGTCCATCAGCACTGACATTTGAAAGTCAATTACTGCACTGCTTCTGGGAAAAAGGACAGCATCCATCCTGCCAACATACCCTGCACAGATACCTGTAACTTGCTGGAGCCTGGACAATTATGGCACTGTAATTATAAGTTGAACTCTAACATTTAAAAAATAAGCATCCATGCAATGAAAAGGTAAATGCACCACAATATACATATTACATTTTGAACTGAAACCAAAACTAGCTGTACCAAGAGGAAAAAAACACCTGTCATGTCCTCTTTCTGTAGAAGTCTCTGCATTCTGCTTCTGTTGATGAAAAGTCATTGAGCTCAGATTTATAATGAATCTTACAAATACACAGCAGTAGTTCTGAAGTACAGCCTTCTTGAAAGGAACTGTTTACATGAAGTACCCTTGCAAATATTGAAAAGGCAGTTAAAAAGAATAAATAGTTGTAAAATACATGCTCTCAATCAATTCAGATGTCTCAACAAAAGCAATAAACGATCTCAGCTGCCCCTAAAAGAAAGTGTGAATGAACAAAAATAGCTCATACAGATGGCTGACCTTGAAACTTCAGTAGTATTTACCTCGGAAATGTTTTTGTCAGTCTCTTTTCTTTTCGCCTCTAGTTTCCTTTCAATCCCTACAATTCCTACAGCTCTCACTCTTCCTGCCTGGAAAAGAAAAGAAAACAAGGAGTCAAAATAGGAAATGCTAAGTTTTCTCATCCACCTCAGCATGAAAAAGCTTGTATCAGAACACAGAAAAAGTTCCTCCAAATAGCCAATAACATACATACAATAATTCATGTATTTCTTTACAGTACTTTCAAAATCAGTGTCACAAAATAAACAATGTGTATAAAGCAAGTATAAATCTGCTGTCACATAGGCAGATAATGGTTATTATATTGAAGCTATTAACATGAATATGCTTAATAGCTTGGTCTAGACTGAATGCTTTAGTTTAAAGCCTCCTGAGCCCATGTGAACATTTACAATACTGAGCAATGCAAATAGGTGAGTGCTTCTAAACACAATTACCTCAAGAAATCTGTGTTCTGCATATTCATACGTACAATGTGTTCACATACAGTTGCAGTGCACACATTTATCAGAGTTTTTAAACCTAGAAGTACGCAGACAGGTAAAAAGACAACCAAACTGACAAAGATATCCTCCAGAACAACTGCCCAATTAGAATATAAATAGAAATCAGATCCATGTGGTTTTCAAACATATGAAATATACGTGTTACATTTCTGGTTTTTGTGGCCAGAGGTCAGATAAGAGATCACCGAAAACCTTTTAGCTTTATCAAGTCTCTCATGCTGAATGTGCTATTACAGAACTGAGCTCACCATCAACCACTCAAGGCAGAGCACACTTAAGGAAGACAGGCCAGAGGCAGATGCAGTATACAGAAACAGCACTTGTGGAAACAAAATTACATGAAGGTTCTGAATTCAAACTAAACAAAGCAACATGAGACGTACACAAGAATGCCAGAAGCTCTGCTCCTACCTGTGGATCCTTGTTAACCTGAATGGTCTGTCCAGCAGGCATGTTCTCCCATCTCCTCTGTGTAATTTCTTCTGAGAATCGTCGAAAGAACTGCAAACATTTAAGAGTGACAATAGATATTTCACAAAACATGCAGAGTAAATCTGGTTATTTTAGTTTCTTGGCCAACGAACCAAATGTCACTGTAAGAAGCAGCATGGTAACACCTACACATTCACAGAACAACATTCTTTTCCAACCTTCAAAAATACACATGGTAGAGAAGGAGCTACTACTCAAACTATCATGACTGCTTCTACTGTAAAATATTTTTTGAGATATTCAAAATGTTCCAAAACATGCTGAAGTTAATGATGGCAAGGTTTGCTCAAACGCCTGCTTTTAAAAGGAAGGAAAATTGATCAACACAATCACAAACAATCTGTTAATTGAACAGCATAAAGACAACCACGTAGACTTATTTGTTTAATGCTAATACCAGAAAGTGGCATTAGTTGATTAGTTAACTTCAAGCAACTTTGCTCACAAAGAAATGAAAGTGAGTGTGATGAAACATATGCATGTTAGATACACACAAAGAAGACACATAGATGCCTTATGAAGATATCTATAATTCAAGTTGAAAATCTGATTTTCTGCAGTGAAATGGCATGGCTTTCTTCTGTTTTTCAGAGCTAAAGTTTTCCATCTCTCCACATAAGGATTTTATACTGTGACATTTCTTCACAGAGGACAATTCCTTTTTTTTTTTTAATCTTTTTAACATCTATTGCATTTTGAGATTAGCAGTTGGTAAAACAAAGAAGAGGAAAGAAAGAAAAAAAAGATTTATAAAACACAATGAAACGAAGCTCTAAAGCAATGAGAGAATTGATTAGGAGTAAGCTGCTTGATTTCCATTCAGTGGAGAAGTACAAAGAAACACCTTTGACTCTATTAACAGTAACAGATTGCAAGGTCATCATTTTGGAAAATAACATGTTCCATTTAGAAAATAATACAGGAAGAATAAGATGTTTCTAAATGTACCAGAAAGAGGACAAAGTCTCATAGCACCTCCTGACATTTTTGGGACTCTGTTTAATCAAAGCTCAGAACCCTGAATGCTCACAATGTTTGCTTTAAAAAAGGATGTACTGAAAAAGCTCCACCTCAAAAGTCAACACAGAAAGATCGTGGAAAATTATCACTATCACAGCAAGAGGAGAAAGGCATGTCCAAAGCTCTGATATACTGGGTTTGTGTGGTACAAAACTTACCTCGATTTGTCCATGCTCTTTGAAAGAAAGTTTTATGTAGGAGTATTTGCTACTTTGGAATGGGCCAGGCTCTTTGTTTGGAGAAGCAGGATGAAGATGAGCGACTATTTTGGCACTAAGAAAAAGTTAAAGGAAAGAGAAAACACAGCTTTTTTCATTAACTAAAAAAAAAACCACCAAACCAAAACCCAACCCCTCTTCCTACAGTCAAAGTTATCTGTCTGTTCAAAATCTGCACTAACTTTATCTCATGTAAGAACTAAAGTACATCAAATAATGCTTTACATTTGTGCAATAACATTTAAATGTTTTGCCACCATGTATATATCTATTTTGTGTGCGTACTGCATAAAAGCTACTACATCCTCTCAATAACATCTCAAGTTTAAAACAAGTTTAACAACATCAAGTTTAAAACTATGGCATCTGTCATCATTTTTAAAAATTAAATGCAACAGATCTTAAGACTTCAAGCAAATTATTTCTGACAGTGTTAGTTAAGGTAAAAACTGCTTGTCGAGCAGTACTTTTGATTTGGCTTTTGACTTGCAATGATTACTGTCAAAACACACTAACTCTGTCACAAGAAAACAGAAAATCTCCATATTCTGTTTAATCTGTCTGCTTGCATGCTTCACTTGTGAACACTGTATGTGATCTTGTCCAAAATCAACACTGAAAGGTAATGTGTGTGGAAATAACATGACACCTACCACCAAAACAAACCTTGAGATAGCACGATTTTAGGAATATACTAAGCCACTATCACATCATGGGGGCAAGTCTGCCATTCCCATTTCATTTTACAAATAGTTATTTTTAATAGATCTTTATTTGCCTTCTTCAGCATAAGGGAACTGTCTGATCTCATCTGGGCACCCCCAGGATATTACCTTAGTCTTTCCATCTGACTGCATCTATTCATCTGGCTGCAAGCACATATCTCTATGCAATTTCTCCATTTAATGTTTATTCTTGTCAAACTTCCACACACCACACCAGATCTGTTACCTAACTGAGGGGAAACACCAACTCTTTCTATTCCTCACCAGCACTTCCAAGCTCAGATTCAATCATACGTTCGTGTAAAGTAAGATAATATGGGATTTGGCAGAGTCTCTGTTCCTAACCAGTTCTGTGACACAAATGACAAAAATTAGCTTTCAAATTTAGATTCAGCAACAGCACTGTGGTATTGATGACTAATCACTGAAAAATGGCAAGCTGGAACACATACTTTAGTGCTTATAGGATGATTTAACCATTTGCTTCAAACACCACTTTGTCATGACTTGCTTATGCACTTGGTCTTAAGTGAGGAATGCTGAGCTGTCAACATGGAAACATGGCTTACAAACTGATCCTACCATGGATAATTAAGTAATCTTGGATTTGTCACATAACACACATGCAATTAATTATCAATGTGAGAAAACCAAAGTGTTTATCATAGGATCATAATAAAATCATGGATAGCTCAGATTGGGAAGGGCCTTAAAGCCCACCCAGTCCCAACCCCGTGCCATGGGCAGTGCCAGCCAGCAGCTCAGGCTGCCCATGGCCCCATCCAACCTGGCCTTGAGTGCCTCCAGGGATGGGGCACCCACAGCTTCTCTGGGCAGCTGTGCCAGTGTCTCAATGCTCTCTCAGTGAAAATTTTCCTCCCAACATCTAAGCTAAATCTCCCCTCTTTTAACTTGAAGTCATTCTCCCTTGTCCTATCACTATCTACCTGTGTAAAAAGTTTTTTATCACCTTACCTTTTTCCTATCCCAGCTGCTTGCTCTTCAATAAAGACGACTTGAGACAGAGGTATAGCAATGCAGCATTCCTGGAATTATCAATGGAAACACAAAAGAAATTAAAGCCATATCCTGACCATTCTCTTAAACCATTCTTTTCTCTTTTCCCATTTCATAAACAGTAAAGATTTCTACAGGTGCTGTCAGAGGCACTTCAGATGAAGTACAGCATTAACAATAGAAACTATCTATGAAAGGGAAATAAAAATACAAAAATACAGATTTGAAGCTGAGTTCCAGATAACCAAAACAAATCTAAGTGTAAGGCACTTCAGGCTAGATTTATAAAACCTCAACTGAACCAAGCTTTAGGATATAAGTACAAGACACAAACACTAAAATTTCCACACTGCTGCAGCTTATCCCTGTCAGTGCATAATGCTAATAGGTCCTTCAGATTTTGGATGGATGTAACTTGGGGAGCCAGAGCACTACACAAAACCACCAGGCTTCTCGGTGCTGAATGTCTAAAAGCTGGATTACTTTTTGAGTTTAGGAATTAGTAATGCCTCCATCTATTCATCCTCACAGGTTTAATGCCAACACACATTTGTTGAACTGTGCTTTAGATAAATCAAAGCAGAGCAAGAAACAAGACTGTACCTATCTGTGGGAAACGAATCCAAACTCTTTATTTATGTATTTGAGACAGAAGTTGCTGAAGGGAACAATTCAAATTATGTGACTGGTCTTGTTTTGGTGAATACCCTTTGCTGAACATCCTCTTCAGGATGAGATCAATGGTCAGTCAGAATGCAGGAAACCTTACAGTCCCTCTTTGAAGCTTTCTCTCCCATCAGCCACAAAGGTGTTCCTAACACCAGCTTATAATGAATACTGTGGGGAGGTCCTCTCAATCCCTGCTACCTAAACTGTTCTTTGCATGGAATGATTAAATACACATTAAATTGGAGCTTATAAGTATATGTGGAGGAACTTCTACTAATGAATAAATCGCTCAAGGGGGAAAAAAAAAACAAACAGATGGCTTTTACTTCCTGTTTTAGACTATTTCAATTCTTCTCTGGCTCCAGATTTTACCACCAATGTACAGAACAATTATGTTTGTAAAATGCCCACATAAATATAGGGAAAAAAAATAAAAAAGATTCCATTAAAACCCAAAGATTTTGAAAGCAACAAAAGAGTCAAATTTCATATAACAACACATAATACCTAGATTTTTTTAAACAATATATTAATTTAGTTCATAGCTAGAAAGCTATGAGTTTAATCTAAGTACAAGGACTTCACTCCTTCCTGGAGAGAGAAGCAAGAGAAAATGATGCCAAAAGAGCAACAAATTAAAAGTTCTGTGGGGATATGAGGACAGCGTGTTCATTTGGATTTATTTTTCTGCTATTTAGTGTTGAAATCATGTATGATTTTGTGATCTGCAATGTTGTGCAAATCTAGCTATGTAACAAACTTAAAAGAATTACATCATCTTTTTCTTTGGAAATGGCTATTTTCTGTATTGTTTGACTGCAGGTGGTATCTAAGAACAGCAGCTATAAAACACAAGTGTTTTTGTAACAACTTTTGCTACTTCAGCCTAACAAGTAGCCTCCTTTATTACAAAAGTATGTTGGCGCAACAAAAGGGAACCTCCTGAAGTTTATTCTAGGTAAGGCAGCTAAGTTTCTGAAGTTTATGCTCCACGTGAATATAAAAGGCCATTGTGCTACCCACGCTTCACTCCTAAGAGCTTGAGAAAGAAACACTTTCATTTACCACAGTAACCAAGTTATGGATTTAAAAAAAGAAAGCAAAAACTTAGCTCTTTTGAGACAGAAGTAACCTATACTAGATCAGACATGGATAATTTCTGCTAATCTGCTGCCCTGTGTTTCTGCCTTCTCTCAGAACCTTTGCTAAGTCAAATTGTTAGAACTATTTTCTTATTCTCCAAGTTTCTTCTCTGCTTTTTAGCAAATTCCGTGATCTTTGGAGAGCACAAGGAGCCCTGCGATTGAGATAGCATGAGGAAAAGAAACAAATGTCATCTTTTTGTTGAGGAGAAAAAGGGGATCTGAACAGTTGTTAGACTTGCTGAAGCTGTCATACACAGTGTTACTCTAGGCAAACTGAAAGCCTGAGAAGATAAGAAGCAATGCATATTGTCTTACGTGCCTGCCTGACACAAAGACATGCTGATTAAGAAGTCAGGGGGGTGAATTACAGAGACAGTTCAACACAGGTAAATTATCTCACATTGGCTGTGGAAAAAAAAAATAATAATAATTACAGAATGGCTTGTGATTTAGACAATCAGCTCCTGACTTAATAGCAACCCCAGCTGGGACAGGCTCTCTGAACAAAGCAGGGGGGTTGGAACTTGATGATTGAGGTCCCCTCCAACCCAGGCCATTCTATGACTCTATGATATACATATATAAGTTGCTTTGCCAAATTCAGATCATCCTTGGCAACCTTACATGTCATGAAGCTCAGAATAGCTCACCACTGTGGAGCAAGAACGTGATGATTGGTGGGGAATAGTCACTAAGTATGAGAGGTGCTTCAGTTACCCCTGCTAAAAGCTAGTCCTGTGGAATAAAACTTACTTTTGAAGAGCTGTTATGTGCACATGGCTTCTGAGGCTAAATTTTCTAAAATACTGTGTCCAAAACAAAGAGAATTCAACCTGGTTCTGAGAAAGACATCTTCAATTACATCTCTAAAATGGTGCACATTATAACAGTCTATGTTTAGAGCTAATTAAATATCTGTAATCTTTCTCACCCATTCACAGCCACATCTCAGGCCACCGGGGACCTGATGTAAAGCATTCAGCAGCAGCATCACACTGTTGTTTCAACAGCACTGCTTAAGCTCTGAACTGATTCTCCTAAGTAGTACAAATGGTCTGGCTTACTGGCTCAGCACAGGAGTAGTCAGCTGGAAGGATAAGGCGTGTACAACATAATACTGCCACCAAACACCAACTATTATCATGGCCTGGTATTATGTGCTGGAACCAGAAGATGGGGATGGTTGGACTTCGAAACACAACTGGGAAGAAAAGGTCTTGCTAAATGAGCACGGAAGAGGCATTCAGATTACAGTCAGAGTGACATTTTCACCTTCATTCTCAAAATCAAGTGTCCAATACATGATGCCAGACTTCCTTCTCCATTTGTGTGCCACAGAAAAGGAAAAACTATACAATTCCTTTCTGCGCCTCCTCATCTCTGATCATTTTATTAAAGCAGAATTGGGTAAAAGAATATTCCTTGTACATCATCTTCTTTGAACGTAATTTCTGTGAAACAAAATGTGGGCTACATCTGTAAGACAAAACATACACAAACAAAGCTGTGGTGGTGAGGCACTGCAACAGATCACCTAGAGATGTGGTGGATGCCCTGACTCTGGAGACTTGCAAAGCAGGGCTGTACCAGGTCTGGGCAATGTGATTGAGCCCCTGTTCACTGCAGATGAGTTGGACTAGATAACCTTTAAAATGTTCCTTCTACCTCTAAGGATTCCATGATTTCTTTTTCATCTGCAAACGCCAACTTACTTGATATGAAATTTACAACTGAGTGACACGCAAGAGACAGAAGTGGGACTTACATGATTCTTCTGATCCCTCCATATTAATCTGTGCGTGCTAAGCAGTAGTACTCCACTATCAAATTTCACCTAAGCACGAAAAATAAAACAGATCAGCAACAAATTTAACTACTAAGTTGCATAAATAAATCATAAAATCATTAAGGTTAAAAAAGACTTCCAAGATCATCGAGTCAATGTGTAAACTCATCACCACAACACTCAACTTGGTAACACTACACATCAGTACAATGTTGGAATAAGATACAAGCCAATATTTTGAGGGCACTCTTATTGTTTTTTTCTTCCCGAGAACAGAATCAATGAAGTTAATGGAAAAAGAAATGGGGAAAACCAGCATAAAAGGATTACATGGATATAGACAAACTTCCTTTTGAACTGCATAAACATACTCTCAGGAAATCCTGAGAGATCCTCCCTCCACATGCTGTGCAAGATACACAAACTGCTAAATGGATATTTATTTCTAAAAGGGCTGTTGCCTTTTGTTTGCTGATAAAGAAAGTTGAAGTTCTATAAGAACACACAGCAACCTAATGAGAACGTGCTACAGACAGAAGTCTTCAGGCCTATCAAATAGAAGCGTTCCTTCTGTCCATGTTATTGTTGAAGAAATATTTTATATATCGGTAAGCAATTAGGATTGGGAAAAATCTGTGTGAGCAAATTGCTTCCTACTTGTAAAGCTCGAAGGAAGCTTTTGTAGCTTCTTGCAAGGGTACGCAGCCATTCGGGTGGAGAAAAACAGGGAGACCGAGAGGCGCGGCGGTGGCACCGGCTGCGCGGGGAGGAGGCGGAGTCACCGTGCCGGCGGTGTATGCGGCACTGAGGGGCGCGGGCAGTGGGGATGGGCTGCCGCTTGGAGGAGAACAGCTTAGAGCTCTTTTCCAACCTTCACGATTCTGTAACTCGCAGAGCCAAGCCCTGTCAGAGCTCGCAGCAACGGCTGCTGGGCGCTGCGGCTCCGCCTCACACTTCTCCTCAGCTACGTCCCCTCACGCTCACTCGCCTCCCCTCGTCCAGGTGCCCACAGCAGCATCCCGCGTTCCCCCAGTTCCCCGCCCGCGCACCGGCCGGCACTCCGGGCCTGGCCGCGCCGCCAGCCGCTCCCGTCACCTTCTCCTCCCCGTCGTAGAGACGCACGCCGCGCTGCTGGAGCACCAGCGTCTCTCCCAGCTCCAGCAGCCCGCTGGTCCAGGAGAACCGATCCATGGCGGTCCGGGAGGAGCTCTCCCTTCCCCAGGAGACACCGGGCCGCAGCCTCCGCTCTTGTCCGGCAGGCACCGGGCGAGCACGGCCCTGCCCCAACCGCGCCAGCCACGGCGGTGCGGCGCCCTCCAGCGGCTGCCTGAAAAATGACCGCCATTTTCTCGTCGCGGCGCCCTCCAGCGACGGCCCCGGGAACGGCCGCCATTTTCTCGCCGCGGTGCGGGAAGCGCCATTGGCCCGTTCAATTCCGCGGCCGGCCAATCAGAGAGGCGGAGCCCGGCGGGGATTTCAAACGGCGCAGCCGCTCCCAGCCCGTCCTGCCATGGCGGCGCGGCTCCCTCCGCAGCTCCCCACCAGCCGCCGGTCCGAGCCGGAGTACCGAGGTAAGGCTGCTGCCGGGGGCCGGGCTGGGCCGGGTTTCCTGCCGCTCTGCGTGCCCTCAGCGTTGGGTGAGGGGGGAACTCAGGGAGAAGCGCAGGGGTTGCCGCTGCCCGTCAGCAGTTCGTTGCGCTTTGTGCGTTTCTGTTTTTCTTTGTGTTGATTTTAGGGTGTTCAATTAAGTGCGTGATCCTAATAGAGGATTAATGTTCAGGGCTCAAAGGCAACATTCAAGCGATTTCTACTTCCTCAGCTTCAGTAAGGTAGCAGTGTCTGCGTGTTGAGGGAGCAAGGCGGTGGGACTTCAGCCTAGAGAAAAGAGCTCGAGGTAATCTGAGAGAGGCCTGCCAGTATCTGAAGGGAACAGACTCTTTAGCGGGCCTCCTGTGACAGGGCAAGGGGAAATGGTTTCAAAGTAAAGGAGAGATTCGGGTTGGGTATAAGGAAGAGGGTGTTGTGCGTGTGTGTGTGTGATTACAATAAAGGGGGTTAGGCACTGGCACAGGTTGCCCAGAGAAGTGGTGGATGCCTGTCTGCAGAGACATTTGAAGCCGAGCTGGACCAGGCTCTGAGCAACCTGATCTAGCTGCAGATGTCCTTGTTTATTGCTGGGAACTTGTACTATATAACCTTGGAAGTGTCCCTTCCAACTCAAACATTTCTATGATGGTACAGGGTGGGGGATGAGCTGCTGGAGAGGAGCTCTGCAGAGAGGGACCTGGGTGTGCTGGTGGATGACAGGTTGGCCATGAGCCAGCAGTGTGCCCTTGTGGCCAACAGGGCCAATGGCATCCTGGGGTGCATTAAAAAGAGCGTGGCCAGCAGGTCGAGGGAGGTGATCCTCCCCCTCTACTCTGCCCTGGTAAGACCTCATCTGGAGTACTGTGTCCAATTCTGGACTCCCCAGTACAAAACAGACAGGGATCTCTTGGAAAGAGCCCAGTGGAGGGCCACAAAGATGGTGAAGGGCCTGGAGCATCTCTCCTATGAAGAAAGGCTGAGTGAACTGGGTCTGTTTAGCCTTGAGAAAAGAAGACTGAGAGGGGACCTGATCCAGGTCTATAAATATCTGAGGTGTGGGGGGCAGAGTGGTGAGGACGGACTCTTTTCGGCAGTGTGTGGAGACAGGACAAGGGGGAACAGCCAGAAACTGCAGCATAGAAACATGCAGCTGCCAGAAACATGCAGCTGTCTCCCACAGCATTCTCCTGCAGAAGCTGGCAGCCCGAGGCTTGGATGGATACACTCTTGGCTGGGTAAGGAGCTGGCTGGAGGGCCGGGCACAGAGAGTGGTGGTGAATGGAGTCAAATCCAGCTGGCGACCGGTCGTGAGTGGTGTTCCCCAGGGGTGGGTGCTGGGGCCTGTCCTCTTCAATATCTTTATTGATGACCTCGATGAGGGCATCGAGTGCACCCTCAGTAAATTCGCAGATGACACCAAATTGGCTGGAAGTGTGGATCTGCCTGGGGGTAGCGAGGCCCTACAGAGGGATCTGGACAGGCTGCAGAGCTGGGCTGAAGCCAATAGGATGAGTTTCAACAAGGCCAAATGCCGGGTCCTGCACTTCGGCCACAACAACCCCAGGCGACGCTACAGGCTTGGGGCGGTGTGGCTGGAGGACTGCGTAGAGGAAATGGACCTGGGAGTATTGATTGATGCTCGGCTGAACATGAGCCAGCTGTGTGCCCAGGTGGCCAAGAAGGCCAATGGCATCCTGGCTGGCATCAGAAACAGTGTTGCAAGCAGGAGCAGGGAGGTGATTGTTCCCCTGTATTCAGCACCAGTGAGGCCGCACCTCAAGTACTGTGTCCAGTTTTGGGTCCCTCACTGCAAGAAAGACATTGAGGCCCTGGAACGTGTTCAAAGGAGGGCAACAAAGCTGGTGAGGGGTCTGGAACACAGGCCATATGAGGAGAGGCTGAAGGAGCTGGGAATGTTCAGCCTGGAGAAGAGGAGGCTCAGGGGCGACCTCATTGCTCTCTATAACTGCCTGAAGGGAGGCTGCAGTGAGCTGGGGGTCGGCCTCTTCTCTCGTGTCATTAGTGATAGGACCAGGGGGAATGGCTTCAAGCTACGGCAGGGGAGATTCAGGCTGGACATGAGGAAGTATTACTTTTCAGAAAGGGTGGTCAGGCACTGGAATGGACTGCCCAGGGAGGTGGTGGAGCCACCGACCCTGGGGGTGTTCAAGGAAAGACTGGATGTTGTGTTGAGGGACATGGTTTAGTAGAAGCTATTGGGAATAGGTGAACGGTTGGACTGGGTGATCTTTTAGGTCTTTTCCAACCTTGGTGATTCTATGATTCTATAGGAAGTTCCGTGCGAATGTGCACAAGAACTTCTGTACAGTGAGGTGACGGAGCACTGGAACAGGCTGCCCAGGGGGGTTGTGGATTCTCCTTCTCTGGAGATGTTCAAGACCTGCCTGGACACCTACTTGTGTGACCTGCTGTAGGGAACCTGCTTTGGCAGGGGGTTGGACTCGATGATCTCTGGAGGACCCTTCCAACCCCTGCAGTTCTGTGATTCTGTGATGACTTGAGGCACAGTGACAGCTTGTGAAATGCAAAGCGAGGGTGATGGCTAAGACAAAATTTGAGAGATGAAGGAATAGGCATGAAGAGGTTCAGGAGAGGACTCATGCCTGCTTTGGAAAGGAGATGTTTGTTATTTCTGTGAGTTTCTTACACTGGTGAATGAATCTGTCTCTTTCGGAGAGAGGATTTCACAGCTTAAGACCTCAGAACCACGTTGCACTGTTATTATCACTCCCATTTTTGGTCTGACATTTGTGCAGAATCCTAGATGACAACATAAGAGAAGCAAATGACTTTACAGGTGGGTGATTGGTTGGTTTCACACTTGTTTTTTCTGTTAGTGGCTATCACAAGTGAAAAGTGGACTTGCTAAGCCAGCAACAGGTATGTTAATGGCATCTACAGAGAAGCATTCAGAAAAGACGAAGCAGGGCCTAATATCTTCCCATTCTTCCCACTGGTTTGGTTTAGGCTTCTTTTAGCTTAGTAGTCAGTGCAGAAAAACAGTCATTTTGTATAGTTATAAAGTTATATTGACCTGCCCCTTGCAGCTAGGCTTCTTCAGTGAATGAGATGTTTGTGAGCATTAAAGAATTGTCTGATCAATGATGTCTGTACATCAGTGTCTTGTTGCTTTCCTATTTATACTTCTTTCATAAGAGGCAAAATATGGCATTGCTAGTTTAACTGAAAATGTAACAATGTAATGTATTTTTTTAAACCCCTTAGAACAGAGAAGACAAAAAGTTGAAGAATACCTATCAAGAAAAAAGACCTTTTCTGGCATGCCCATTCACGAAAATGAGACATCAGTCAGGTATTATTATTTTCTGCTATTCGTATTCCTTGTGGAAATGGATGGTTAGAAAGATGTAAGTGGCCATTCTTGGCAGAATCACAGTCAAAAGATAACTGTGCAACTAGTAGTGACCATGTGGGTTTTTGTACATCCTTTTATTGACAGCAACTATTAAAAGTTTGTGTTAAATAAATGCAACTGCTTTATAGATGTAATTTACGTGTGTTGCCCATTCCACTGGAGACTGAGACAAGGGAGGGTACTTTAATTGCAAAACTCTCATATCAGGTGCCACTGTTTGCCTCTACAGCCCTCCTTTTGCAAATACTTTTTTCCCTTCTTTTTGCTCAGGTTATGTTACACATGTTGACAGTACAGTTGATGTAATCTCATTATGTTTTGTAGTTATCAATTTAATACTTTCAGTTAAGAGCAACTATATTATAACAGAAATTAAACTGTGATGGACAGAAGATAAACAGAACTTACTGTGGATGCCTACCACTGATCACTAATGCTTCTTGTTATTTACTTCATTTTAAATGCTTTTCCTGCTATTGTCTGAAGTTTGGATATTCATTATGAAGGACCTGGCAATAAGCAAGAATGGCTTCTTTAGAGATAACAGTGTTGTAAAGGAGTTCAGAAGATGCTAGCTGTAATCCTAGTTTGTTTTGGATTTGCCATTTTAATGTTTTTGCAATTAGGAAATTTCAGCATGGCATTTATTCTTATCTAAATGGAAAGCCTGGTTTAGCACTTTGTGTACTTGAAGTGGCATGCTCCCTATTTCTGTTTGCTGTTGAACAGTGTTTTGATGGTACAAATCTAGATGAACAGTGAGTGACCTTTGAATATAAAATGCACATGAATTGCAAGAATAAATATAATCCATCAAATACCTGTTCTATGTACCAAGAAAAGGCATGTGCTTTCATGTTGTAGAAAGCTGTCTTTTTTGGGAGAGAGGGATTGGAGGAAGTGGCTACTTTAACTGTACTAGTGGCCTTATTGTAGTGCTTGATCTACTTTACTTTTCCTTGCTTTCTGCTTCTTTGGCTATTCCTCCCTCAAGTGCAGTGTATAGGACACTTGACCTTTTGTATCAGGTGCAACATATCCTTAAGCATAAGAATGATATCTGAAGTGAATGTGGTCAGTTAACTTTTCTTCCCTGCCTCAGCCAGCTTCCTGTGATGTGGGAGATGTCTTGCAGTCTGTGCCATGACCAGTGCTTGCTTAACCGTTTCTCTTTCCTGGAGGCAGAGTTCATGCTGAGCAGAATTGCTTCAGTTTGAGTTCAACTTGTAGATTGCTGCCTGAATTGTATTCTTGTGTTGTTTAAGATAATCTTTAATTTTTCTTAATACAGTAGCAGAACTAGGAAAGCA